TCATTTTACGCATCCCTGGTGAGAATTCTTTTCTTGAGCAAAGCTCGTCATGACACCAGTATTGGAGTAGACTTGCCAGCTTTATCAATAGAATAACCAGTGCCTTTAAGGTAAAATAAGTCGAAAAACGAAACAATACATTTGCAGTCAATTAAGGGTTCGTATCACGGTTACTTCGACATCTTTGTTTGAAATGCTGGAAATAAAAGCTAACTTTGATGACCCATTTCTCATTCATAAGATAACTGGCTGAGAATGATCGAGATGGTGGTTAACAAAATTTTTTTACAAATCTCCTACAGTTGCAAAGATAAACCAGAATATTTTAAAAAGTCTTAGTTTCAAAATGGCTGGTCTTACCTTTTTGTTTCGATCTGAGCGTTGCCTAGTTGACGTGCATGTAAGGTGGTCTAGTCTCGTTTTCGAGTTAAGATGGCCGCATATGAGGGTATAGCAGCACACAATTATTGTCATGGGTATAACAAACTGCACCACAAATAGGCTCAGAAAGTAGAATTGCTCAAACTTGTCGCTGGGCCAGGTGTCTGTGCAAACCGGCTGACTGTCCCGTCGTTTCACCACCCTAAGCGCAAAATTGAACGGAAGAGCAATGAGGACAGAAAAAGTCCAGATTAACATAATGGCAAATTTGGTGGTTTTTACGGTAAATCTTCTACCCAGAGGCTTGACTATAGCTCGATATTGGTCTATAGTCATGAGAACCAAAGTCATCGATGAAGCGGTAATAAAAACGTAAGCTAACGTCGGTATTGTCTTACATAACACGGCACCAAAAGGCCAAATGTAAGAATTTTCTTGATATGCCAAGCGAAATGGAAGATTCACAGTGAGGACAGCGATGTCGGCTGCGGCAAGATTACAAATGAAAAGGTTACTAACAGTTCGCAGTTTTCTTCTTTTCATGACCATTCGGAAAACCAGAACATTTCCCAAGACGCCCAAGACAAAGACAAGCGAATAACAAAACAGTTTAAAAACTTTAAACGAGAAGCTCTCCGTTGAAAAGCTGCGGCTTTTTGTGACGTTGAAGGTGACAACCGCAGACTCATTTGCTATAGCGTGTTCCTGGAATGCCATGGCAAATGGAATCAGCATTGACAATTTCTAATCCTAATACTTAAAATGGAAATCCTCATTTGAGAAACTTTTGACTGGTGCCAACTCTGACCTGTAAAGTATGGTAAGTCACCCTTAGTCCCGCAGGCGGCTTTTACACCTATTTGTTTTTATAGCCATTTCTATATTCATGAGCTATTGAGCGCTCTAATGCAAATCCTACGTTGAAGATATCGGCGATAAGCAGATGTTCGACACTTGAATAAGTCTAGACAAAGTTGAACAGTAACTCAGCCGTTTTAGCGCTTTTCCAGAAAGCGGCTGCTTTATTCTAACCTGGAGGTGAGTCTTGAAGTAAACAGACGCACCTAAGGTATGAAATTATTCTCATATATATCAAATAAAGCCCTATTAAAAATTGAGAACAAAGCAGACAAAACGACCAAGAAAAAGTTTTTGTCAGAACTCGTTGACTTTTGAAAGCGTTTATAAATAACACAAAAATAAGGTGATCTGCACTTAAACCAAAAACAGAAAAGTAAAATGCATGTGGCTGAAAACATGTAGTCTTTGTGCGCAAGTATTCCCCATATTAACTGAGTACCACATGGGTACCTGCCAGCGCCGAAAAAGCATTAGGTAATTCAGAATTTTATTGTCATAACTATTCAAGTTAGTTAGTACCAAATAGAAAATGGCTTTATTGACACGAACGAACTATATGTTAAGTAAAAAAAAAACACACCTTTTATACGCTATTACAAAGGAGACAGCAGTGACCGAGAAGAAGGTTATACGAAAAATGAGCCCAAGAGGAACTAGTTTCATCTCTCGATTGATTTAATCAATAGTTGACCCCATTTGACAGCGACTCATTTCATTTGCAAGTAATATTTTTGTAAAGTATACACTAAAACAGTGAATAGTGGTAGATGCTCGCTCTGATTGGTTATTCAAGAACCGAATAACCTTTGCTATTCACCTCCGAGCCGCTCGCGCGGGATTTACGCCCGAAAATATTATAATCTTTGCAGGAATAAATGAATTGAAATCATATTTTTGTGCTATATTATCTCACTGTTTTAGTAAATACTAAAACAACTTTTGAGTGATTCCTTGCCATGACCGCTGAACCTTCTCGATAATTATGAATTTTCAAAAAAGAATTTCGGTCATTTAAACACAAGTTGAGGACAATAGCTGTTGTAAAATTATACCCACGTAGAGGACGATCCAGTTTATTCAGAAATGAAAACAAAATGGTTTAATTTAATCTGCTCAGGGTAGAAAAGAACTCATTAGCCAGTAGGTAAAAGTAAACACAATCACCGGGGTCAGTGTAAACAACAAAATTTACTGCATGAAATAAATGAATAAATTACAAAGACAAAATTATGATGGAGGTCTAACTCATTCACCTTATTAAATTTTAACGCTGCAAAGACAACAAGCACAAGGCTGAGTCAGTGTCCGAGTTACCACTGCCCTTGAAGTGAATGTGTGTGTTCTCGCTAACACACAAGCGCATGTATCGTAAAGTTAGTACTCCGGATAAACCCAATATTATGCAAAAAAGATTTGATTATGGTCGCAACATTCTACATTGTACGGTAATTGGAATATTTCTAAACTAATCGTAATATCCGTGAGTGATGACAACAAAGAGTCTTTGTTCTTGGAAGAAATATGTCAGTTCTGTTTCGGCAGAATGAAATTAGCTAAGTAGCCTGTATATATGGTCTCTTAAAGTAAAATGACTTGGTAAAATTTCTCAGGTGAGACCACATCTTTAACAGGTTTGCTTCAAAGTCACCCAAGCCTTCTCCCAAATTTAAAATGCAGATAAAACGATTGAGTTTAGACTATCTTATCCTAGTCGTGAGATGAATTTGGTTAATTACGTGGCTACGTCAGGAACGTTCTTCAATATGTTAATATTTCATCATTGGTTTCTAGGGAAACTAAAATCATTATTAAGCATTTCAATGGCTTCATTAAAACTTAACAAGCAAAGTAAAGCTGTTAAATCTACTAAAGAAATAAACATCTCATCGAAAGAAGAAAAAACGTTGGCGTACGCACGTGCAACAATCGCTGTTAACATTAGCAGTCAAGATTTGATTCTTTGAAGCCCAAGAAAGTTCACAATTCAATTTTCATACACATAGTCAAGCAGGCAGGTGTTGAGAAATTTCCACCAAGAGATTCTGTTGGGAAGTAATGTCAAATTCTCAGCTCTGTTCAGCAATGTTTGCCTGTTAGGAGAATTACCTCTTAGATAATGGAAATTCGATTATAGGGAGTTAACCCTTTAACTCACAGATCAAATTTGTAATTCTCCTTATTATCGACCATACAATTTTTTTTAATACTAGTTTAGAGAATTTAGTATTGGATCAACTAATTATCCCCAAATTGATATTCTTTCCTTATTCTCCTCACTTATCTGGTTGATATTGTATTGATATTGTAAGGAGAAATTCTGTCTTGGTCAGTCATGGGAGTTAAAGGATTAATAAACCATTTGATAGGCTCATGTGTATTGTGACTTCAAAGGACTGCACGTATATGCATCATTATACCTCAGTGAACGTAAATTTGTTGTTCAAGAAATATTTTCGCAAAAAAACTTACCTTTCGTTTATCTCTCAGTTTAACTGTTTCTCTTCACTTATTTTTCAATTTCTTGTGACCTTTTCCCCCAATTATTTCTGAAGGTAATGCAGTGCCCTATCATCAAAGCCAAATTCTTTTTTCAATTTTTCTTCACCATCACTGTTGGGTATATGTACATCAGATTAGAGCTTTTCAATTGTTTATTCCGATAAACACTACTAACTTGTGTAGAAAAATGTTTGGAAACTAGTCAACAGTTTTTGGAAATCTCCGAAAGATAAAAATGTGTAACAAGTAAACTATTAGCACCATTAGAGCTGCTATAAATAGAGTTTTATGATACAACAATCTCATTTTTACCCAATATATTTTTTGGTGAACTATTAGGAACCTAAATTACGTTTTACAGAAGAAATAGATGGAAATAAAACATTTAGACTTTTTCCAAACATGCTATGTACGGCCGCTAGAAAAAAATGCTACCATACTTTGAAACCTGAACTCAAATAGCTTGAGATGAGATTTATCTTCTGCATCGTTTAACTGGGTATACTGATAATTTTTAAGTCACAACCATTTACGTCAAAACTAAAGCGTAAATCTGAAGTAAGCTTGCTACAATGTAAACTCCCCCGCTACCATTACGATTCGCCCATGATTTTAAGGCTTTCCACCGTTGTTATCAAGAGCGAGAGTTTCAAAAACAGCCCATGGTTTCTTAGTGATGATTCACGTCATTGTTCTTGGCCTTTATATAATAAAACCCAGCACTTAATGGACGATTCGTTAAGTGGATTTATTAACAGTTTTCAATCAAACAACCATTAGAAAACCAACTGGTAGCGCACCATCACTTTTAGCATAGAACTGTAAATCATGGGCACAATTCCGGTCTGGGTTATAGTTTTCGTATTCGCATCTTTTACACACGAGGGTGAGTATTAAGTTATGATAACTAAAGTTTAAAATTACGGATATCTCTCTTCAATAATATGCCTTATTTCACTGAAGTATCTCTCCAGTGTGATCATGGCGGCTTCTGAGCATTAAAAAATTAAAAATACGCCGTATATTTTTACCCTCCTAACTCTAAAAATCAGGTTCTAGTATCTTGCTGACACTAAAAAGAATGAGAGGTGTTTTGTTTAGCTTTTAACTTGATTTCTAGATAAAGTCGATACAAGGAAAAAAACCATTATAGTAAAAAAAGCGTTCGGTCATGGCACTAATATTTTTATATTTGAAACGGTTGGAAGTATAATTTGAACGTAAAATTAAGATTGAGAAAAGGGGAAGACATGGAAGATATGTCTCAATGTAAGGACGTTCTTTTTTTTTTATTTAGCACGTGGTCGAGGTTGTCCTATGACCTTAACAGCCATGGGCTGTTATAGAGACTATAGAGGAATGAGAGTTCTTCCAAATCTCATCATGAACCAACGTGGCATAGATGGCTTCTGGGCAAACTATACAAGTGTGCTTCCCAGGTAATTGCAACAACTTGAGTTAAGTAAGCTTCATTTCTCTCAGATGGTGAAGTACAAAGAAATTTTGAGCAGTAAAGCTATCTTCAGTTGGTAAAAATGATATGAATTATTTTAACGATTATTAAGCTGAGAATTTCTCGAGGTAGTCACATGTCACTTATGTTTCAAAGTGATAATACCTCTTTTATGTATCCTGGCAACAATGCAATACTTCCAGAGAGTGCCCCATTAAAGTTCACTTTGAAAGTGGGCTCCATTTGGGCGTGTACTTTAGGACAATGAAACAGGAAGTCGGGCATTTTTATTCACAGGCAAAATCTTGAATGCATTGGGAGAGTACAATATTTTTCAGTCAATTTAGTTAATCAGCGGTACTATGTCTCGGACAACTGTGCAAGTCCTGTAATAGTTGAAAAACATATATATTTTCGATTCCTCGTGGGAAGGAAGAATTTTAGAATTTTTTCTTCGTATGCCGCTTATGACAAGGTGGAAAGCATTTTTTAATTTTATGACAGAGCTCAAATGTTACCATATCTCGTTTTGTATTTTCCCCTTTGAGAGTGAGTAAGCCTCAATTCCTAATGAAGACTTCCTTTGTCCCACTCTCGTGACCAGTCGAAAAAGCATTAGTCTCTAAATGCACAGTTGTTGTTTATTTTGCTAAGTGATTGGGACCCTAGTTTCTTATACTCGTTCGTATGTTCGTTTGCTTTTTTTGTTTGGTTAAACCTGTTGTTTTTATTTTCTATTTTTGTTATTAGTTTAATTTGTAGTTGTGCGACAAAAGCCAAAGAGATGGGCTACAAGTACATTGGAATTCAATATTATGGAGAATGCTGGGCAGGAGACTACTTTGCTCGTCCGCTTAAAGAGAAAAGAAGTTGTATAGACTTAAAATTCCGAACGTGTCAAAAG